CCAAGGTAACTGCGCAGCTCACCCAGGTCTGTGCACGTATGTCTCTTCTGCAGCTCCGACTTCACCAGGGCAAGAGCCTCAGTGTCAGCAGTGGCAAAGACCAAGTCGTCGACGTACACGAGGATGTAGAACGGCGGCAGTGAGGTGTCGGTGCGCAGAAACAGCGACGGGTCAGCGGTCGACGGAGCAAACCCAAGAGCCGCAAGTGTCGTCCTCAGTGTGTCGTGCCACTCACGTGGCGCCTGGCGGAGACCGTAGACTGGCCGCTGGAGCCTCCACTGGGTACCAGGAGGGAACGACCCAGTGAAGCCAGGAGGGCGGCGCAGCCAGATCTCCTCGTGCAGGCTGCCCTGCAAGAAAGCTGTGCTGAAGTCCAGAGAGTGAAGCTCGTAGTCACGGTGAGCGGCAACGTGCAGCAGTACCCGAAGAGTGGTCATCTTCGGGGTGGGGGAGAAGGTCTGGAAGAAGTCAACTCCCTCTCGCTGACTGAAGCCTCGAGCAACGTAACGAGCCTTGAAGACGGGCGGAGAACCTGGCGGCCGCTTCACCCTGAAAATCCACATGCCACTGACGATGTTCGCCCCAGGAGGGGGAACCTCGTCGACGTAAGTGCCAGTGGACTTCCAGGATGCCATCTCTGCGTCCATGGCTGTCTGCCACTGAGAGGAGTACTCACACGCGACCGCCTCAGCGTAAGAGCGCGGGGTCGGGATGTCTGGTGCATCCGGGTCTCCCTCAGGTGCAATCAGCATGGACACGAGATGAGGTACAGCAGCCGCAAAGCACTCAAACTCCTCCTGCCTGTCCTCAAGGACGTCCGTGCTAAGAGCACACTCACCCCCGACGGACGGAGGACAGACAGACTCAGACTCAGCAACAAGACTAGCGGCGTAGTCTAGACGACAGGTAGCAGCAAAGTCAACAAGCTCAGCGACTAAGGCAGACGCAGCAGTAGACTCAAACGACGGGTCAGTGACAACAGTGGCTAACAGACGCGTGACAGTGGGGTGCTCAGCGCGAAACCGGTCAGACTCAGGGTCCGGAACGACAGGCAGAGAGGACGCAGGTGGGGAAGGCAGAGGAGCAGACTGCGGAGCAGAGGAAGGACGACGGACGACAAGGTGTGCGCTGGGGACAGTCTGCTGACGCGCACGAGCGACACGACGACCGGTACGACCAGGACGAACAGGCGAGACAGGACGCGACACAGGCTCACGACGCTCAGCAAGACTGCCTGTCTGCTCAGTGTAAGGAGAAGGAGCAGGCAGCGGTGAGCCAGCCGGTAACGGAAGACCAGTGGACGACGGGAGAGTAAGAACCTGACGAAGAAGAGTGTTAGGCGGCGGCAGCGACGACGGAGACGGCGGAGCGAAGAACAGTCGTGTCGGCGCAGCTGTACCAGCTCCGGCAGCTCCAGCAGCGCCAGCACCTCCAGCAGCGCCAGCACCTCCAGCAGCGCCAGCGCCTCCAGCAGCTCCAGAAGCTCCAGCCTCAGAACCGGTACCTCCAGCGCCAGCAGCTCCAGAACCAGCGTCACCAGCAGCCGCACCCCCAGAACCGGCACCTGCAGTCCCAGGGTCTCCAACCGCAGTGTCTCCCGCAGCAGCACCCCCAGAACCGGCACCTCCAGTCCCAGGGTCTCCAACCGCAGCGTCTCCCGCAGCAGCACCCCCAGAACCAGCACCTCCAGTCCCAGGGTCTCCAGCCGCAGCGTCTCCCGCAGCAGCACCCCCAGAACTAGCACCTCCAGTCCCAGGGTCTCCAACCGCAGCGTCTCCCGCAGCAGCACCCCCAGACGCAGCACCCCCAGCCCCAGCAGCTCCAGTACCTCGAGCAGCAGCGTCCCGGGCTCCAGCAGCGCGACGCTGACGGCAACCGTACCAGTCGTGCAGCTGCTGAGGGGTGAGAGGCACACGCGGACGAAGGCGGCCACTCCAAGTAGGCCGCGCACCAGCAGTCCCAGTACCCTCAAGCGTCTCACCGCCAGACTCAGCACCCCCAGACTCCGCACACACAGGCTCAGCACCCACAGACTCCGAACCCCCAGACGCAGCACCTCCAGGAGCACCACCCCCAGCAGCACCAGAGTCAACAGTAACCGGCTGCAGAGGCGGTGAAGAAGGTCGCGGGGGGAACCCCGGAGGGGTCTCCAAGCGTGGTGCGCGGCGGTAGGCCGACGGGGCGCCAGCAGCAGCGTCACCCCCCTCGGGTGGGCCAAAGGGGTCGAAAGTGACCTCGAAAGGCTCAGCCAAGGGGGGGGGGTCTACCTGAGACACACCTGAAGGAGCAGGACCCTGAGGGGGGAGGGGGTCTACCGGGGGGGGACCTGGCGTAAGGAAGAGCGGCGGGGGGGGAGGGGGGCAGCGCGGTAGGGGAAGAGACGGTAGTACGGAACCGACTCGTCAAACGTGACGTCTTGGGAGGACAGAACACGGCGCGAGGTGGGGTGGTAAAACTGCCAACCAGGCGCGTCAGGGGGGAAGCCAAGGAAGACGCAGGGAACAGCACGGGAGGACATCTTGTCCGCAGACAAGTCTCGGACAAAAGCCCGAGATCCCCAGACACGGAACGCAGACGCATCGCCAACCTTCCCCGTCCACAGCAGAGTGGGGGAGGTCCCCGGCATGGAGACCCGGGGCTGAAGGTTGATCTGACGCGCCGCGTACTGAACCGCAAACGGCCACAGAAAATGGGGAGCAGCCGCATGAATCATGGACGTACGAGCGACATCCATGACCATGCCAATGCGGCGCTCAGCAATCCCATTTTGCTGCGGAGAGGCCGGAAGCGTGAACGTCTGGCGGATGCCCCTCGCACGACAGTAGGCTCGCAGAGGGCCTGAGGAAAACTCCCCACCTCTGTCGGAGTGCAGACGCAAAACAGGAAAGTCAGAGCGGAAACTCGTCCGGAGCTGGAGACGAGCAGCGCGGATCCAGGCGATCAACACCTCAGTGACATCACCCTTGCGGCGCAAGGGGAAGACTGTGGTGTAACGCGAGTAATCGTCAACCACCAGCAGGAAGTAGCGCTCGTGACCCTGTCCACAGACGCGGGCTGGGCCCCACACGTCCATGTGAAGAGTCTGCAGCGGAGCCTCTGTCGGCGGAAACTCGGAGGAGTGAGGAGCGGCGCGCTGCCGCCCCTCGACGCAGGGAACGCAGGTAGGGGCAGGCCCCGGAGGAAGGGGAGGGAGAGACCGGGGGAGACCAGAGACAAGGACACGGGAGGCCATGCCTCGGAGGCGAGGCAGGGAGGGGTGACCAAGGCGGTGGTGCCAGAGAAGAGTCTCGTGGGACAGGAGGCGACACGAACAGGGGGCAGACTCAGGGCCAGACCGAGACGCTGCAGCAAACACCTGACCTGACGCAGCTACCTGACCAGGCACAGTAACCGGAGGAGACTCGGTAGTGAGGGTGTACAGGCTCGACCCCGGCCGACGGGTAAACGTGGCCAAGTGTCGGCCCGTGTCTGCACACGTGCAGTGGGTCACCCGCTGACGAGCAGGGGTGAACTGGTCAACCCCCCCGTCCTGTAGGTCAGCACCCGCCACCAAGTTCGTAGAGAACGAGGGGAGGTAAAGACCCGACAGGGAGCCAGACGGGACCGAAATTTTTTTAAGGTTTTCATCCCGCCGTATGCTCGGGGCGTGCGGCGGTTTTCTGCCTACCGTGCGCCCCGAGGCGCGCGGCGGTTTCCCACCGTCGAAGTGCCCCCCGTCGCCCGTCGAAGCGCCCCCCGTCGCCCGTCGAAGCGCCCCCGTCGCCCGTCGGAGCGCCCCCCGTCGCCCGTCGAAACGTCCCCGTCGCCCGTCGAAGCGCCCCTGGGACCCGCGCGCGGCCCGTACGGGCTGCGCCAGGCCCGCGCGCGGCCCGTACGGGCTGCGCCAGGCCCGCGCGCGGCCCGTACGGGCTGCGCCAGGCCCGCGCGCGGCCCGTACGGGCTGCGCCAGGCCCGCGCGCGGCCCGTACGGGCTGCGCCAGGCCCGCGCGCGGCCCGGGCAGCCCGCGCGCGCCTCGTCCCGCCTGCGGCAGACCCGTGCGCGCGCCTCGTCCGTCCCCCAAGCTTCTGTCGGCGCCCCACCCCCGCTACTGCCCGCGTTCCTGTGTTAGGGTTTGGGGGTGGCGGGTGTGGGGGTGCCGGTTGTGTGCCCCGTCCCCTCCTCCTCCTCCTCCGTCTCCCGCTGCTGCAGCTGCCGCTCAGGGGGGTGGGTGTGTGGGGAGCCGACGGAGTGGTACTAGGGGGGTGAAAGGGGAGTGGAGCTAGGGGCGAAGCAGGGGGTGTGTGTCGAGGGGTGTGGGACTGTTGGGGGAGGTTGAGCGGAGGCCGCCGTCGTGTCGTCTGCAGCGCCTGTATTCCGGGGTTCTGATAGCCACCGGTAGCTCAGAGAGCCGGTTGCACCTGTCGCCCGTGGGTCCGTTGCTCCTGTCGCTGCTGATCAGACGCAGAGCCTGTTACTCCTGTATTCCGGGGCCCTTGCTCCCGGTAGCCACTAGAGCTGCACCAGAGCCGTCTGTTGCCCGTGTGTCTGCAGCTTCAGTCGTCGCCTCCACTCTTCTCTCCTCTCGCCAGCCCTCCTCCTCCTCACTTGCCCTCTGTGACTGCCTCTAGCTTTGCTCATAAAATGTGAACTACTATTATGACTGCTTGTTGTGCTGATTACACCCCACTTTGGCTATGGGGGTGTGTCAGAATGTTGTATTTGTCTAGCCTGCAGTGGGGTACTCTATAGCGAGTACAGCCCAATCTAGGGTTTGCTATTTGTATCTCAACTGCTGCTAGTCCAAACCCTCTTTCTGCTTCTAAACTTTCTCCTACTACTTCTGACAACGGGTCGGGCGGGACACTCAGGTAACAGTCACCGTCATCACTAGTAGACATAACATACATGGCAGCAAGGATAGCATCATAGTCAAGATCAAAGATAGCTACACCCGACTTAAGTAGCTCATTCCAGCGAGGGATCTCAGTGGCGTCTGGGAACTGGAGACGCCACGCGTCTGTCAGACGGCCGAAGCAGCGCTGAGTGGTGTGCGGGCCGCCACACTGCTCCCCAGTGCGGTCACCAGTACGGAGGACGTACGTACAGGGACCAGCACCACCAGGCCGCTGCCGCCCAGTGTACCACTGGTGAAGCTGCTGGGGTGGCGGTACCTCACGAGAGCGCTGCTGCTGCTGACGCTGGCCACCACCGGAGCCGCCACGCTGCGCGCCGCCACCCCGACCAGCACCACCGCCACCGCCGCTGCTGCCGCCACCGCCGCCACCGCCGCCTCCTCCACTCCCACCACCGACGCCGCCGCTGCCTCCGCCTCCACCGCTGCCACCAGAGCCCCCACCTCCACCACCACTCCCACCTCCACCCCCACCACCACCCCCGCCAGCTCCACCGCCACCACCACCACCCCCGCTAGCTCCTCCAGCTCCCTTGCCCCCCTTACCCTTGCTGTTGCGGCGCCTCCCGCTAGGGGCAGACGCAGCGCCGACCGACTCAGTGCCAAGAAAGTTGACAGCAGCAGCAGAGGCAACAGAGGGCAAAAGGGGAACGGGGGAGCACCCCTCAAAGATAGGGGCACGGGGGTCACCGCGAGAGGCTCCTACAGCGACTATGCTCGTCTCGGCTGCAAGGAGCTCCCTCTCGAGGAGGTCAACAGTGAGAGTGGTAGGGCAGACAGCTAGGAAGTGGTCCCTGACTGAGCGAAGGGAGTCAGGGAGGCGGGTGACCAGGTCGTAGAGGGTGATATACATGGGGGGGGGGGTTCTTGGCGCAGAACTCAGCAGGAAGCGCAGCGCGGTAGCGGGTGTCACTAGTGCGGAGGTGCGTAATGAGGTCAGCGACTGTAGCAAAGGTAAGCGGCTAGGTCAGGGAAAAGGTAGGGGAGCATGATGCGGCTAAGGGCAGCAGAGGCAGGGGAGGAGTAGCGCGCAACGACAGCATCGAACAGGGTCTTAGCGGTCTTAAACTGAGTGAAGTGCGCACGCTCAGCAGATGGCAAGTGGCACAGCAAGGCGGGCAGCAGCATCGCGGGTGTTCCAGCGCGAGCGAACAGTAGCATCAGCATCAGCAGCAGGGGAGGGGGAAGCACCAGACGTGAGGTCATACAGCGAAACATCGTCTTTGCTGTCACACTGCAGGTACAGCTGCAAGTCGTCCAGCCAGACCTCAAAATCGATCGCACGACCCTCAACATCGAATGTAAGAACCGCAGGACTAGCCATGGCAGCAGGCTAAGCAGGCTAGCAGCAGCAGGAGAAGCAAGCTCAGCGATGCGCTTACCAAGGGCGGGCTGGAGAAACCCGCAAGCGGTGGGGCAGGGCCGAGGTGCCCGAGTAGGGTCAGGGCCACAGCAGGGCGGTAGAAATGGCGGCAGCTGCAGATGGGCGGCTGCACCAGGGGCGGCTGCACCAGGGGCGGCTGCTGCAGAGGGGCGGCTGCACCAGGGGCGGCTGCTGCAGGGGCGGCTGCACCAGGGGCGGCTGCACCAGGGGCGGCAGCTGCAGAGGGGCGGCTGCACCAGGGGCGGCTGCTGCAGGGGCGGCTGCACCAAGAGCGGCTGCACCAGGGGCGGCAGCTGCAGAGGGGCGGCTGCACCAGGGGCGGCAGCTGCAGAAGTAGTAGCGGCGGTCGTCACAGGGGTGGCGACGGCGGCAAGGGGCCGTGGCGGAAGCGGCAGGGGCGGCTGCGAAGAGCCGCGGGGGGAGGGGGGGGGGGGGGCACGAACGGCCGTGTAGGAGCCGCGTAGGAGACGCGAGGACCGCGTAGGGGGCCGCGACGGGCCGAGAAAGCGGTCGCGAAGGGTCGCGAGCCGGCGCGCGGCGCGACAGCAGTGGCGCGCGACAAAAACCGTAGCGCGCGCGCTGAAAACTGTGGCGCGCGCGCGAAAATTTGGCGATGCGCGCTGCAGCCGAAGCGCGCGCGGGCAGTAGGCAGGGTAGTGAGTTAGGTGGGCCCAAGAAATCGTAGGTCCAAGCTTTGACCTGCTCTAGTTACCATGTTAAGAAGCCATAGATGCCTAGGCAAAGAATGATGAGTTAGGTCAAGGTTTGGGGTACAAGAAAGAGAGTGTCGAGAGAAATGTTTGTACCTCCTAGAGCTATCCCCAATACAACCTAGATAATAATATATGTATATATTTGACATGTACCTGGTGTGGATGGCTAGGCAAAGGTGTTATTTCTCATGCGTGTAGCACTTCGCAATGCTGAATAGCACTTGAATGAGTGTTTATATTTACGAGATAGGGATGGCAACATGAGAATGTTGCTTAACGAAGAATATTGTGTAATGTGTATGCTAAGGTATGGTAGCATAAAACAACTGAGTACTGCGCCGTCAGTCGGCTGATTCACATAGTGCCAGTAGTTTATATGTTATAAAATCCACACAATTAGACGTGTTACCCAAGCTCATCCAATGCACATAAGAGTTCTTTTCAAGGTCCATCTCCCAACATTACCATAACCAAGGCTCGTACTACTAGTGTATTTCATCAGAGTACTCTTTAACGAAGCAGTAGAACGGGCTCAAATATCTCGGGAAAATCTGGCGCATCGGGTCCGCGTCACGCAAGGATATTTGCGTCGCATTTTGCGGTTCGATTTTTGAATTTCATTTCAATGCGGGCACCCCTTCCAACTTCCTCCCCCGCCCCGCCCCATCCCATCTCCCCTTTCCCTCCCAAATGCATCATCACGACGACTATCCCACGTAGCTCCTCATGCTTCCCACGTTCCAGAACCCCCTTAGCAAGCAACCCCAACCTGCTGCTCTCGATTCACAAGCACATCCCCGTACATATCCACCTAACACCGACCAAAACTACTCCACCAGACTTACCTTATCACCGACCAGCCGCTAGACCTCACCGACCACCAGCTATAGTTACGTTATCACGATGTACGCGCCGGCTACGCAGATGCACCGCGGGTCCTATAAATGCCAGGGCGTGAGGCTTCAGATGTATCAGTCAAGACGTATTACCCGGACTTGTACTCTTAGAATTCCGCAATCTCCTTAGAACCTCTTCCTCTCCCCCGTTGATCTTTGAGAATTCTCAAAAATCGCATTCGCTGCAGCCATGAGGCGTTCCAAGCTGTTCTTCGCCCTGCTCGCGCTCTCGCTGCTCGTATCCCTCGCGCTGGCGCCGCAGTGCCGCGCGAATGAGATCGCCGCGGAAGACGACGCCGACGACGACGACCTGTCGGACGCCGCCATTTCCGCAGATGCGTCGCCTCCTGGTGCGTTTGGTATCACGTTGCGCTCAGAAACGCCATGCGCTCGCCTCTTACCCCCCCCTGCTTTGCCTTGATATGTAACTGATCGCATTGAACCCTCAACGCGACGTTTCTGGTTAAATTTGTTCGTTCCGCGCCTTCCCTGTTTCCAGGTCTCGTGGCTGCATTATACCGCGTGAGCCGGCGGTTCCTGTGGTCGCCGCGCATGCGGTCGTGAATTGGCAATCATTTCTTACCTTCCCCGCTTCTTGCCTTCCCTGTTTCCAGGTCTCGTGGATGCGTTATACCGAGTGAGCCGGCGGTTCCTGTATTCGCCGCGCATGCTGTCGTGCCGGTCTGACTGCGAGGACAAGAACAAGAAGTGCAACACTGATTACAGCGAGTGCAAGCGCGAGAACAAGGACGACAAGCATGACCACCACAAGTGCACGCACACTTACAAGAAGTGCAAGAAGAAGATCAAGAAGTGCCGCCGCAAGTGCGACTAAGTAGAAGACACAGAAAGTTGCAACGACTGGGACATTGATAGAAATACTTTAATGAAGGAGGATGAGTAACCAGTCCATCTTGGGGTGTTATATTGTGTGATTTCGTTCCAATAATATTTCCAGAGCTAAGCCATTTTCAGGCGTTAGTACCTCTTCTCCACGTCTCACACTGAACGCGCCTCTGCTGCCCCAAAGTACCGTACTCAAGCCCACACCACCAGGAGGTCGTGAGCACAGGAAAAACTTGACATACACACACACACACTAACTGTGAGTATGAGCAGCACACACTCTAGCAGACCCTGCTATCCTGGACAACGCAGTTGATTCAAGCAGCAGGCTGCTGGCAGTAGCACGTTAGGAGAAAATTCATCAGCTTCTGCTGAGTTTCTCCCATTGCCCTTCCTGGTTAACCCTCTATATATTACTTGTCCCCTGTATGGTGCTATAACACCACCTGTAGGTTACTGCCTGCTGCTCAGTCGCTCTGTATAACATATGGCACAACCAGGATTCCTTTTGCACAATATTGCTGTATTATGTATAATGTCAGTTCGAGTGTACCATCTAACGTTCACAGATACGGTATGTCTAGAAGAATGTCATGCTAATGTACCACATTGAATTCTGAAAGAGTAAAACCCCTCTACCAGCATTTATGCTGGCTTTCAGATAGCATGTAACAACAGCAAAAGTAACCAGCTCTCAATCCGACTACCTTGCTTATGATCCTGGGGAAAGAATGGAAACAATCCTGTACTCCAAAACACCCGCAGCTACTGTAACCTGTACCAAACTGTACTAAATCGCATTTGGAAAACAACAATCACATCAGCACCACCAGCTCGCCAGCACCAGCTGCACAACTAGCAGACCCATTGAACAGCCCTAGCAGCAGCAGCAGCCTAGGAGCTGAGCTCCTTGGCGAGCTTCTCTGCCTTGGCCACCACCTCCTCGATGCCTCCCACCATGTAGAACGCCTGCTCGGGGAGATCGTCGTACTTGCCGTCCAACACACCCTGTGTGGTGATTGGGGGGGAGTGGGAGGAGGAAGGGGGAGCAGCGTGGGGAAAAGGGAACAAGGGTAAGGGGACAGCAAATGGGGACTGGGCTTCTCAGCCTTGTAGAATGCCTGCTCGGGGAGACCATCGTACTTGCCGTCCAACACTCCCTGGGTGTGAGGGAGGGGAGGTGCAGGGGAGACAGTGTGCAGACAAGGGAACAAGGTTAGGGGATAAGGGGACAGGGAACGGGGACTAGGCTTCTCAGCCTTGGCCACCACCTCCTCAATGCCTCCCACCATGTAGAACGCCTGCTTTGGCAGATCGTCGTACTTGCCGTCCAACACACCCTGTGAGGGTTGAGGAGGAGTGGGGAGGATTGAGTTGAAGGGAAGGGTGGGTAGAGAAGTTGGGATATGGCACAAGGCATGGTGAGAGAGCAGCCCGGTGGGCCACCACCTCCTCAATGCCTCCCACCATGTAGAACGCCTGCTCTGGCAGATCATTGTACTTGCCGTCCAACACACCCTGTGAGAGTGGGAGTTGGGCGGGACGGAGTTGTGTCGGTGAAAGGAGAGTCAGGATCATCAGGGAATGGGATCTTGCACTCGAGCGGGAATGGGCATGCATGAATGAGCACAGGCATGAGGCGAGGAGAAGGGCTGCAAGCGGCTCTCCTTGACATCCACACATTTCCCCGGTAAGCCAGTGAAGACCTCAGCCATGTGGAAGGGCTGGCTCACACCCCTTCACATGACTGAGCAATCAAGTGGCAGCAGCAGGTATTGAACCCGAGACCTCACCTGGAAGCTGGTAATGCTTTCCTTAACATCGAAGTATTTAACCGGCGAGCCAGTGAACACCTCAGCCACGTGGAAGGGCTGGCTCACCCCTTCACATGACCCTAAGCTGCATGATGCGGTTAAGATACAGCAGCGGGATTCGAACTTGAGACCTCACCTGGAAGCTGGTGATGCTCTCCTTGACGTCGACGTATTTGCCGGGCGAGCCAGTGAAGACCTCAGCCACGTGGAAGGGCTGGCTCAGGAAACGCTGAATCTTGCGAGCACGGGCCACCACCAGCTTGTCGTCCTCACTGAGCTCGTGTATCCATTCCAAGAATAGCAATGATATCCTGAAATAGAAAGAGCAGAGAAGGATGGTATCAGTGGGGGCAGAGATGTGGAAGGGCTGGCTGAGGAAGCGCTGGATCTTGCAAGCGCGAGCCACCACCAGCTTGTCGTCTTCACTGAGCTCGTCCATTCCAAGAATAGCAATGATACCCCGAAATAGAAAGAG